AAAAGAGCATGCTTACTTAACGTAAATTTGTCAAACCAATTTAAAGGTAATTGACAGATCAGCTGCTGATGTGACTATGGTAATATAACCTTTCGACATGGGGTCATACTGTACATAATGATCCGAAGATCGTTATGTTACAATAGTGATGTCACAAAGCTTTGAATATGTTATTCCTTGCTTGCATCCTGTGCTGCACACTTGTCAGCTGTAAGGTAAATCAGAACGAAACGCATCTGTAAAGCGCATTCATAAATGTTACTAGTCGCACTAGCGAATTGGCTGATTTCTCCCCCAACGCTGAACTGCTAAACGTTGTCCCCATTGATCACAAGTCAACAATTTATCATTCACGTCTAGGCTGCTTTCAGCCCTGTGTCGTTTGATTCATGTATTACTCACAACAATTGCCAATTTCATTAGGCAATTTATTTTTCAGGCATTGCTGTTTGCGTAAAGCTTTAACAAAGTAAATAACTTAAAACTGAAGTTAGGTCCAACTACCCTACCATCCCATATGTTAACTTTGTCGATGTATCACACATTTGTCGTTTTTAGTATGGGAAAGAATCTTCCGAATAGTTATACTTTACATATCTGGAAACAAAAATATTTCAAAAAATATGCTATTCAGGCCGGGTGGTTTGCTTGCACCAATCGTTCCAGCTTGTTGCCCTATTGGAGCATCTTTCTGACAGACGTTGTTTCTTAGATACATAAGACCAATGCTTAGTATATAAATAGGTCAGAACTCCGCAAGAACCAGATTTGGGCGCATACTCTAACGAGGCCTTCTCCCACTTGCTAAATGAGTCATCTGAGCGCGCCACCGCTTCACGAGCTTAAGCTTGAGGTGGTCGCAGTGGTCAAAATGATCTGAAATAATACTATCAGCGAACATTCTCAAATGGTCTGTTGCCATTTTCTTAAGGTACCAGCTTTTTTGAATTTATGACCCATATGTCTGTTCACTATACCGTGAATCTTCAGATCGACACATTGAGATTATCGACGGATCGAAATACGGTCACAGTGAATGGCCTTCACGGACAACAGGCGCTGCACCTTGAAAGCTAGTAGCTATTATTGATCAAGGCAAAACAAGGAGCGTTCAACTGTTGCAGATTCACAAGAATCTTGACGTGATACATTTTAGACTATTAGTAAATTGTTAGGGAAAATGCCAAACAGATGTAATGCCGCTTTCACATATGTTAAAAATTCCTGCTTCAATGTGTTCTTTCTGCAGTGACACTCTTTTTAATGGTTTGAACAGCTAAATGTCAGCAATTCTGAAATGATCCGTGTACTTCAGCGTATAAATCTCATTTTCACTCAACTCTGTGTCAGCTTAACCTGAGAACTGCTGTTTCTACACTATTTGTGAAATGCTCCCAATATTGCCTTTCGATTTGAGTACAGTAACCATTCTTTCACATTAGAATTACAGATTTGCAGGATGTGCTCCAAATGGCGGTGCAACGAATCTCACAATTACTTAGATATAACACAAGTAATGGCGCCAAGTTAAACTATCATAATACATTTTTCTACTCCTCAAATAATGAGGTTTGAAGAAGCCACTTCGGGTAAGCACAGTTGGATGTTCAATAAATATAATAAAATATCGGTGTGACCCATTTAATACATGTATAAGTACTTGCTATTTTGATGTGTACCCTCTGAGACTTTTATGCAAAAATTCCACTGTCGTGTTCTAGAAAAATCTTCCACAAGGCAGACGACAATCATGTCGTTGACTCGAATTCAGGAAAACCATTGAAATTT